CCGCATAACTGGTCCATGGAGAACTCTTCATGCAGAGGTTTGATTCCTCATTTATGCGCATGTGCACAAAAAACCCCACCCGCCTGAACGTTCTGTCTGGTTGCGCAGTGACAGGTTGCACCCACAGCAAAACAGATTATACTGGGATGTGTGATGGAGCAAGTCTGTGCCAGATACCAACGGATGGAATAGGAATGCTTCCCGACCACGCCAAATGGCACATCTGACCACAACCTAATAGAGTTTAAAACAGACGTGGTTTTCAGAATAAATAGCAGAATGGTAAGGAAAAAAAAAAGAACCTCCTCAAAAATATCTTGGTGAAATTAATACCAGAAATAAAATTCTGAAAATCTTTAGGAGCCAATCCAGAGTGTTCGAGGCCTGGCATGAAAGAGAAGAAAGCAGCTTCAATTTCTGACCAGAAGGCGGGCAAAGGATACAGTCTTGTTTTGTCCACCCTTGTCTGTGGATGGCCCTGTCAGGTGCCCAGACAGGAGAGGCAGCTAGTTCGGGATCAAGTCCAGGGATCATGTCAGAGGGCAGCCATGCTGGTCTGCAGCGGGACAGCTGGATCCAAGTCCAGGAGCCCCTCGGAGACCCACCACAAGAGTTTTAGGCTCCAAGAGTCAAGACTCCCTCCGTCAGATACAGTAGTAAAGAATAGGGTTACCAGGTCTGGGTTGGAAAATACCTGGAGACGTTGGGGGTGGATCCAGGAGAGGGTGGGGTTTGGGGAGGGGAGGGGCCTCAGCATGGTACCATGCCATAGAGTCCACCCTTCAAAGCAGCCATTTTCTCCAGGAGAGCTGATCTCTGTCAGCTGGGGATCAGTTGTAAAAGCGGGAGATCCCCAGGCCCCACCTGGAGGCTGGCAACCCTAGTAAAGAGTGCTGGAGGGGAGCCTTGACTCTTGAATCCCTGAAACTCTTGTTGTCCTCCGAGGGGCTCCTGGACTCAGACCGAGCAGGTCTAGTGATGGATTCAGGTGGGCGGCTGCGTAGGTCTGAAGCAGGAGAAGGGAGCCTGAGTCCGGAGGTGGCACCTTTTAAGACCAATAAAGTTCAAATCTGGGTATCAGTTTTCCTGTGCAAACGTAGGTCTAGTGGATGATGGTCATTAAATTGTTAAGTCCTGCCATCTAGTGGATGAGAAAATTCATAAAAGCTAGCAAAGCTCTCAGGGCATTCCAGACCTGCTAATTTGAAGGCAAAGTGCCAGTGATGCTCAGTCTTGTGCTGTCTGTCCTCAGCCTTTTAATGCAAACCAAAGTGCATAACTTGGAGTGGGGGATTTTTAACCCTTTCCTTCCTGCCATTAAAAATCCCCCTCCCACTATGTTTTTATTCCCAAGGGGAAAGACACATTTGTCACCCATTGCTTGACCCTGGCTCAGCAGGCGCCTTCACTGTTCACGTGTCCAATTGTGTTTCAGATGGCCAGGCTACACTCAGAAATAGTCTCAGTGGCTGCCCCCCATTATTGCCTTTCCCAAGGAAACTCTCCAATGCTCATTCCTGAGCAACTTTTGAACTGACTTTGGGAAGTCATAGCCAAGCAGGGGGGAAAAAATCCGAGGAGTTTAAAGATGTAGTTTAGTATTTGCATGTTATTCCATACTAATGGCCTTCAGCTTTTTTCTTCTTCTTTAAAAAGGCCTTACTAACTCTCCTGATCCTTAGGAATGGGATATGCACTAAACTGAAATACAGAACTAGATCATCTCTAAATCCACCCCCGCTGTCATGGAATTAGGGCTGGATTAAGCCTCAGTCCTCCGCTCAACCTCTGGTACAGCTCTGATACTTTAATTTCTATAGCAATTAGCCTCTTGGAGTGGGGGATTTTTAACCCTTTCCTTCCTGCCATTAAAAATCCCCCTCCCACTATGTTTTTATTCCCAAGGGGAAAGACACATTTGTCACCCATCGCTTGACCATGGCTCAGCAGGCGCCTTCACTGTTCACGTGTCCAATTGTGTTTCAGATGGCCAGGCTACACTCAGAAATAGTCTCAGTGGCTGCCCCCCATTATTGCCTTTCCCAAGGAAACTCTCCAATGCTCATTCCTGAGCAACTTTTGAACTGACTTTGGGAAGTCATAGCCAAGCAGGGGGGAAAAAATCCGAGGAGTTTAAAGATGTAGTTTAGTATTTGCATGTTATTCCATACTAATGGCCTTCAGCTTTTTTCTTCTTCTTTAAAAAGGCCTTACTAACTCTCCTGATCCTTAGGAATGGGATATGCACTAAACTGAAATACAGAACTAGATCATCTCTAAATCCACCCCCGCTGTCATGGAATTAGGGCTGGATTAAGCCTCAGTCCTCCGCTCAACCTCTGGTACAGCTCTGATACTTTAATTTCTATAGCCTCTGTAGTTGAATCTTTGGTTCTGTTTCCCAGGAGGCCTCAGGACTCTGCTAAGTGCTGTGGCCTTGGGGCACCGGTAACCCTGCACATGACTTTTCGCCTCACATGACTTTTGCCTTCTGGGAATGTTTATACACTGCAGAAGCCAGGAGTCACTATCAAATTTTAAACAGAGTATCTGAAGCCAGCTTCCTGGGACTTTCTTAGTCAGCCTTGACTCACTGACTTTCCTGACCCCAGAGATAGAAAGAAAGGGCTGACTTTGTTGTATATGTCAGATGTATGTATGTCAAATGCTGATCACAGACTTGACTGACAGTTACATTAACTTCTGTGTTTGGAAAACGGTACTTCATGTCTGGATTTAGTTGTGTTCCTTGTTGTTCTGGCCAACCACCCTTCCGTTATGGGTCTTGGCAGAGCAACCAAGGATATCCTTTATAGAATTACAAGTGCACTATTTATGTATTGAGGTTGTGTTGAAATATTCTGTGTTGAATACTGAAATGCTACAAAGAGTTTTCTGACTTAAAAGTGTTTAATAGAATAAACCAAGTTTTGGTTTAGGACCACTCTCTTTCTCTCTCTCTCTCTGCAATTGGGAAGCCAGCTTCTCTCCCTCCCAAAATGAATACAGTGGAGATGAGAGTGCATGAAAAGGTTCCTGCACCCCTCATTTCCCCAACACCTGCCCAACTGCTGCTAAGCAGCACCTTTCTCCTTCCAATCTCTCCCCTTTCCCCCTGGTTAGTTCTGTTTTTGTGTGACCCACCCCCCCCCCCCGGTCACTTCTCCACTGCCACCATCTTGGCTTTGTCCAATGCCCATCCTGTTCGTTCTCCAGCCAGAGCTGCCAGAATCGTTTGCCTTTTCCCAGGTGCTGTTGGGCCTTGTGGCCATGAGGAAGGTCACTGTCCCACCGACACCTCCCACCTCTTAGACTCCTAAAACCTTTGTGGGTCTTTCAGGTGCTACAGGATTCCAGCTGTTCTAACATTGACCGAGTTGGCTTCTCTCCAAAACTATCTCTGATCATGTTTTCTAAGGCCACAGGTCTTTCTCTTTGTAACATTCCTCCGGATTTCTATCAAACATTGGAAAATTAATCTTGTTTTGAGAATAACAAGCTCTCACTTATTAAAGAAATTAACTTTTATTATTTAAGTCTTTTCATAAACCAATACAAAAATACACATATAGTAGTACAAAACACAAGGGTGTCATGAACGTGTGTGTGTTTGTCATTGCAAGCATATGAGGACGTTTTAAGATTCCGCTGTCAAACTGCACCTGCCTTGTAAAATGCCAACATAACACTGATTTTTCTACATATCAAAATATTAAATAAAATGTGTGCTGAACAGTTTCCTGGATCATGAGTATAGTGCAGCCATTTTAAGACCCACAGATTTATGCAACTGAACTCACTCACACAGTAATCCATGTGATTTAACAAAGCTTGGGTGTGACTGGATTGTGCACTATTTTTTCCCCCCTGGTTTTAAATGACAGGACACAAAGAGTAGGAATCAGTGAACAGTTCTCACAATGGAGGGAAGTAAGCAGCGGGGTCCCACAAGGGCTGGTATCGGGGGCGGTACTATTTAAATGCGGAATTCGTGCTGGAGGATGTAGTAGTGACCACAGGAATAAGCGGCTTTAAAGGGGGATTAGATAGATCTATGGAGGATAGGTCTATCAATGGCTACTAGCCATGTTGGCTGAGGGGAATCTCCACATACAGAGGCACTAATCCTCTGAATCCCAGAGCCAGGAGGCAACGTCAGGGGAAGGCCTTGGCCTCCATGCCGTCTTGTTGGCCCTCCAGAGGAACTGGTTGGCCCCTGTGTGAGACAGGAAGCTGGACTAGATGGACCCTCACTGGTCTGGCCCAGCAGGGCTCTTCTGAGGTTCTTCTCAGGGGAAGTCCTCGGCCTCTCTGCTCTGTTGTTGGCCCTCCAGAGGAACTGGCTGGCCGCTGTGTGAGACGGGAGGCTGGACTAGATGGACCCTCCCTTGTCTGACCCAGCAGGGCTCTTCTGAGGTTTTTATCAGGGGAAGTCCTCGGCCTCTCTGCACTGTTGCTGGCCCTCCAGAGGAACTGGTTGGCCCCTGTGTGGGATGGGATGCTGGACTAGATGGATCACTGGTCTGATCCAGCAGGGCTCTTCTTCTGTTCTTAGGAGTGTGAAGTTTGGGGAGGGGAGGGACCTCGGCAGGGTATATAAGGCCGCAGAGTCCAACCTCCAAAGCAGCCATTTTCTCCAGGGGGACTGATCTTGGTTGTCTGGAGATCAATTGTAATGGTAGGAGATCTCCAGGTGCCACCTGGAGGTTGGCAACCCTACTCTGGGAAGTAAGAGGAAAATTGTACTTCTATAAATATATATGTATATATTGGGAACATACGTTTTTCCAGTAGTGAAATGGTTATCCAGAGAAAGGCCCAGACGTATCCTCAACACTGGAAGTTTGTCTAGAGGATACTTGGGGGGGGTTTTTTTTGAGAATGTCAGTATTTTCTTCGTTCCTCATCTGTTTTCAAAGAGCTGCACGTGTTGCTTTGGTCAAACAGCCGACTGCGGATTCATCCCTGCCCTCGGGGGTCTCCGTCTGTGCCTGTGAAGTTCACGTTATGCAACTGACCTCAAAGAGCGAGGCAGCCGAATGCATCCGGTAAAAAATGGAAAAGGGCATGGCAAGGTTCACAATGATGATCCAAGGCTCAAATCCAAACACCATCTCTTCCAGTCCGTTATCGTACTCTGGCCGGCAGCCAAAAGCGGCTGGAATCCAAAGCTTGGGGGGGGGGCGCAAAAAAAAGGGAATACATTAAAACCAACATAAACTTTAATTAATTTATGTGTTTCATAGCCTGTCTTTCTCCCCAGTGGGGACTTAAAGCGGCCCACATGATTCTTCTCTCCTCCATTCTATCCTCACAACAACCCAGTGAGGTAGGTGAGGTTGAGAGTTTGTAACTGTCCCAAGGCCACCCGGTGAGCTTCTACAGCCAAGTGGGGACTCGAACCTGGGTCTTCCAGGCCCTATTCTGACTATCCCAGGCCACACCAGCTTGCAGCCTAAATCACTTGCACTCTGTTGCACCCGACCTTCCCTCTTGGCTCAAGGCAGTTCCGGGCACGCCTACTGAAGTCTGCAAGCCGGTTTGGATTGAATGTCCCTCCTGTTACAGAATTCTACAGAAAAGCAGCATTGCAGCTAACTTTGGTGTGACCTCGGACCCCTCTCCCATGAGTGAAGCCCCACCCAGACCAAGCCCAGGACTGTATTTTGGAAGACAGTGGAACTGGTGATACACCTAAAGCTGCTACGGGGCCAGGACTTGGGCCGGATCCAGAGGTGTGGTTTCAAAGCAACAGAACCCAGCCGTGTCTTTTCAGAGCGCTGCTGCACCAGTTATTTTTTTTCGTGAACATGGAGGAGCGACACATCCCACTCGGCCTGTGCCAGACAAAAACTTCATTTGTGGTAAGCAGGGTGGCCAGGTCCTGCCTGGCAGCTGGCGGGGGGCTCCTGGGTCCTTCCTGAGATCTTCTGCCATGGGTGATGACATCACCCAGAAGGGACATCAACCAGTGACGTCATCGCATGAGTGTGTGGGAGGGGGACACTCTAGTATCTGGGCAAAACTCGATGGGTTTTGCCTTCAATGGTCTTTGCCTTCAAAACCATAGAGTTTGACCGAAAACCAAAGCATTACCCCCCTCCATGTTGGCGGTGCAATGACGTCACTTCCAGGGGATGTCATTGCGTTGGGGACATCATGTGGCAATGTCACTGTTTGGGGTGGGGGTTCCCCTGCCGGCCAGCTGGCCAGCAGTGGATCAGAGCCCCCCAAAATGGGGGAAACCCCACTAGGACCTGAGGGTTCGGAACCCTAGTGGTAAATATTCTCCAGCTAACATCTGTAGAATAGCTTCAGGTGGTTCAGCATGTTGGTCTGAAGCAACAGAACAAGGCTTGAGTCCAGTGGCTCCTTTAAGACCAACAAAGCTTAATTCTGGGTTTAAACCTTCGTGTGCACGCACAGCGTGCACACGAAAGCTTATACCCAGAATTAAACTTTGTTGGTCTTCAAGGTTCCCATTGGACTCACTTTGATCTGCAGAGAGATGATGCTTTTGTTCTCTGAATCAATCCTTGTGGTTACTCCATAAAGAACTACAGGGGCAACTTTCAGACTGAAAACTTGGACAGCACCGGGAATATAATTTGCACCTGCATATTTTTTTTTGGGGGGGGAAGTGCTGCTAGCACAAGTGTTTGCTTTATTTCTTATCAGCTACTGATGTGGTCCCCATTTTAAATTAGATGGGAAAAGAATACCCAAATGCAAAATTTAAATCAGACGAAAAAAAGAACCCCCAAGTACAAAACTCCTTGACCTGCTGGATTTCTTCAGTCACCATTCAGTGTCCAGCGGTATACTGTAGGATTTCTCTCTCTTTTTAGAGAAGGTAGCTACTTTAGATTTCTGGTCATTTACTCTCAGGCCTTCCCTAATAGAACATTCCAAACAGGTTTTTAAAGGTCTCTGAAGACCACCTCTTGTCCGAGATAATCGGACAGTATCATCAGCATAGAGATGGATTAATGCAACTGGCCGAGCAAGGTGGGTGAAGAGGACTCATTAAAATGAGGTGAAAGATCATTCATATAAAGATTAAATACAAGTGGGGCCAAGAGGCAACCCTGTCCAACCCCATTATCGAGGCTGAATGAGTCAAGTCAGCTCGCCAGCATGACCACAGGTATCTGTAGCATGGGACACACACACACACAGAGGTCATTTTGGGGGGGATCGCAGGGGATCGCAGTTCCCCCGGGTGAGGTATGGGGGGTGGGACACATGACGAAGCCCCGCCCCCTGCTTTCGGCCACCCTGCTTCCGGCCCTCATTCAGCTAGGAGGAGGCAGGAGAAGAGGGAGGGTAAGTTGCTTCCTCCCTGCCTCTCCCCACCCCTGCCTGCCTGGGGCCAGGGAGGGCCTTCGCAGGGCTTCCTTGCACTCCCGCCGGCCTTGCAGCCCCTCATGGGGCTCGGCAGTGGAGCTGCAAGGCCGGCGGTGGCGGCCGGGACCGTTGGGGGCGGGGTGTGTGGCCTTATGACACACTTCCGGTGATGTCAGGGGGTGTGGCCTTATGACACATTTCCGGTGATGTCAGGGGGTGTGGCATATGCTAATGAGTTCCCCTAGCTCTTTTTCTACGAAATGACCCCTGCACACACACCATAATGCCTCCCAAGATTCCCCATTTCACATGTTCATTTTCTTTGCATCGCTGTCTTATTCTCAGCAGCTCTGAGAATAACAACAACAGAGAACAGATCCAGGTGGGGTCGCCGTGTTGGTCTGAAGCAGCAGAACAAAGTTTGAGCTCAGTGGGGGCTCCTTTAAGGCCAACCAAGTTTTATTCCGAGAGCTTCTACCCAGAACAGAGGTTTGTTGGTCTTAAAGGAGCCGCTGGACTCAAACCCGTGTTCAGCGACAGAGAACGACGGAGCTGCTCATTGGGGATCCTGCTCCGAAGTCCTTTTCCTCTTCACGGCCACCTCAGGCTGGTTTTATTTAAACACTGAGTCATACAAGCAACTTCTGAAGAAGGCCCGTGCTTCCTACAGCCGTGCCACACAGGCTCTTGGGTAGGGTTGCCAGCCTCCAGGTGGGGCCTGGGGATCCCCCGCTTTTACCACTGATCTCCAGCTGACAGAGATCAGCTCCCCTGGAGGAAATGGCTGCTTTGGAGGGTGGCCTCTGTGGCCTTGGGCCATGCTCAGGCCCCTCCCCAAACCCCTCCCTCTCCTGGCTCCACCCCCAAAGTCTCCGGGTGTTTCCCAACCAGGTCCTGGCAACCCTACTCTTGGGTAACCAACCATGGGTGCAGCAATGCTCAAAGGAACTGCTGACGGGGTTAGGACTCCAGCAACTGGCTCAAGGAAATAACCTGCACCCTCATGGCTGGGTCCCCAAAACCACCACCTCCTCAGCGTGGGTCGGAGGCCTTCATTTCCAGCCTCCCTAAAACCAGGCTATGGTCTCAAATAGCCCTCCTTTCTCCTCATGTGTTTAAAGGGAATGGACACTCCACACATGGGGTCGGATTAGAGCGGCTGGCTCCGGGTTGGGAAATACCTGGAGATTCTGGGGGCGGAGCCTGAGGCGAGCAGGGTTCAGGGAGGGGAGGGGCCTCAGCAGGGTCCAATCCAGGGATGGCAGAAACCAAGGGGGGAAAGGTGGTGGTGGTGGTGGGAGAACTCGGCCCAAGATATGGCTGTGATCTAGGAGGGTCAAGCTAACAAAATAAGTTGCTATAAAAATACAAATACTTATTACGGTCTACACATTAGTAAAACATAAAATAGGTTAAAAGAAATGATCCAAATATCAGACTCTAAAAACTTTTTTCACACAGAACTGAAAGTTGTGTCATTTCCATTTGATTACTCCCTTTGATGGAAGAGACACACATCCAGACACACTGGATAGTTGTTACCAGAACTATTTGGAGAGCGCCTGCAGTTACGATGAGAGATTATCCATGGCCTGCTGTGTAAACATTTAGCAACTGCTCATCACAATTGAAAGCAACACCTGGCTCTAAAGAAAATCTCTGTTCACATATTTAGTTTTGGATGTGTGTTGTTTTACAACAGTAATATTGACCACTGAGGACGGCCCAGAGGGTCATAAGATATCCCCATCGACTGTGTATGTAAAACTTTCAGCTCTGTGTGTAAAAAGTTTAAAAGTCTGATATTTGGATCATTTCTTTTAACCTATTTTATCTTTTACTAATGTGTACATCATAATAAATATTTGTATTCCTATAACAACTTATTTTGTTAGCTTGACCCTCATATATCACGCTACAATGTAGAGACGCCAGCCTCTGGGGGGGGGGACCTGGGGGGGGGTCTCCCAGAATTAAAGCTCATCTCCAGACTACAGAGATCAGTTTCCCATGGAGAAAATGGAAGCTCCGGAGGGTGGACTCTCTGGCCCTGCACCCCACTGAGGTCCCTGTCCTCCCCAGGCTCCACCCCCAAATCTCCAGGAGTTTCTTGGCCTGGATCTGGCAGTGTCCCCTGCCGGTGGCCATAGAGTACCCCCTCTAAAGCAGCTATTTTCTCCAGGAAAACTGATCTCTGTCATTTGGAAATCAACTGTAATAGCAGGAAGTCTCCATGCCTCAACTGGAGGTTGGCAACCATAAGTTGGATCGAGCACAAAACATCTGCTTGTCTTGCATCCCCATTTGCATTCCCACTTGCACAGGATCTTGTGCAATCAATTTCTGAGCACAGGAATATATGGGGACGAAAAAGCTACGTGCACAAGGGGAACGACGCGGAATTCCTTTGTGTTTAGAAATCCTGAGGAAATCATCGGGCCTGAGTTGCAAATGGTCTGTTTGATCTCCATTGATTTCAGTGCCGTTTAAGAACACTGACATTCCCACGTGGGCTTAGACAGAGGCCCTAAATGTTCATTCTTAAGCCTGTCCCTCAGTTTTATTGTGATTTATATCAATAGGGTTGCCAGCTCCAGGGTGGGAAACACCTGGAGTTTTAGGGGGTGGAGCCTGGGGAGGGTGGGGTTTGGGGAGGGGAGGGACTTTAATGGAGCATAATGCCACGGAGTCCACCTTCCAAAGCAGCCATGTTCTCCGGGTAAACTGACCTCTGTTGCCTGGAGAGTTGTAATCCCAGGAGATCTCCAGCTGCTCCAATTGGCAACCCTACCTGGACAGCAGTTGTAATCCCAGGAGATCTCCAGCCGCCTCCTGGTACTTGGAAACCCTCTTTATCAATGAGGAAGTAAGTTGCAGGTGAGGGCCGTTACCCAATCCCTTGACTCCCATGTGCAATAAACCTGTAAATAATTGCTTAGCTCTTGTCTGGCTGCTGTTTGGTGGGGAAATGGACAGACGGAGAGGGAGAGAGTGGCTAATCCTCCCCCCACCCACCCCCCAACAGGCCTCTGCTGCTGGTGCTGGGACGCTCAGACTTCTGCAGGTGATGTTGACTTTGGCGCTGGGAAAAGTTTCACCTGCTGCTTCCTGCAGACTGAGCAGCTCTTTGGGAATGCCCCAGCAGCCGGCCCAAGTTGTTTGTTCCCCCACCACCACCGATGAGATGGACCTGGGGTTGCCAGCTCTGGGCTAGGAAGTGCCTGGAGGTTTTGGGGGTGGAGCCTGGGGGAGGGACAGGACCTCAGTGGGGCATCATGCCACGGAGTCCACCTTCCAAAGCAGCCACTGTATCCAGGGGAACTACCTAAGAATCATAGAATCATAGAGTTGGAAGGGACCTCCAGGGTCATCTAGTCCAGCCCCCTGCACAATGCAGGGAATTCACAAATACCTCCCCCACCCCACACCCCCAGTGACCCCTCTTCCATGCCCAGAAGGTGACAAAAAACCTCCAGGAGAAACCGGGCTGGAGAAAAACGGCTTCCGTTTTCAAGAGAGCCAGTTTGGAGTAGTGGTTAAGTGTGCGGACTCTAATCTGGGAGAACTGGGTTTGATTCCCCACTCCTCCACTTGCACTTGCTGGATGACCTTGGGCAAGCCATAGTTCTGTCAGAGCTGTCCTTGAAAAAGAGCAGTTTCTGTCAGAACTCTCTCGGCCCCGCCTACCTCACAGGGTGTCTGCTGTGGGGAGGGGAAGGGAAAGGAGTTTGTAAGCCGCTCTGAGACTCCTTTGGGTAGTGAAGGGCCATGGGGTATAAATCCAATCTCTTCTTCTTTCTGACCCCAATGTGGTGATCAGCACTTCCCCGGGCGTGTAAGAAAGGGCCACAAGAACTAAACAACCCTTCCTGCCCTCCCTCTCATGATCTGCCTCAGTTCACACAACCGGCATTGCTGTCAGATGGCCAGCTAGCCTCTGTTTGAAAACCTCCAAAGCAGGGGAGCCCACCGCCTCCCGAGGAAACCTGCTCCACTGTTCCACCTCGGTTGTCTGGAAATCCATTGTAATAGAGGGAAATCTGCAGGTGCCACCTGGAGGGTGGCAACCCTAAATGGAACCCTTGTGGGAGAGCCCTCCTTATTTCCGCACGGCAGCTTACCGACAGATTGCACAGGAACAGGAAAGCTGCGACGTTCTTCAGGATGCGCCGCTTGTTGAGGGGGAAGTTTCTCCCATAGTGTGGGGAATCGGATGGAGCAGGGGGGAAAGCTCTGCTGGCGTTGCCCTTCCCTTCATCCGCCACACCCGGGCCGTTGCTCTCAGGCAGGGAAACACTGCCGTTGGACTTGCAGGACAACTCTCCACTCTGGATGCCGTTGGTCCCATTATAGATTTCTTTGTAAGACGGTGCAGGAGAAAGCGTGCTCCCGTTGGACACGGTGAGTATCCGAAGAGTTTTGATGTCATCGTGACCCTTATCGTGCTCACGATGTATTGATTCGATTATAAAGAGGTTCTGGACATATTTCTCAACGATAACGAGTATGGAATAAGGCAGGTTGTACCACGCATAGGCAGGGTGGGTTTCGGCACAGATAATTGCCAGGATGGAGCCCCACGAAAGGAGCCAGGATCCCGAAGCCGTTCCAACCAGAAGGTCCCCGTCAAGTTTCCTGGCTGGGTTTTTGGAAACATCCAGTGACCTGCCTTCAAGTCTGTAGATCAGCAGAGCGACAATCCCAGCCGCACACATCAGGGTCAGTACGATGATGGCATACAAGTAAAACATCATGAGTGCAATTTCACTCTTTAGCTTGGAACGCCCGATCTGAATCAAGTACACCACCACGACGGCGATGGTGGTGGCAAACACAACCATTCCCACAATGGTGCCGAACGTTTTGCCTTGAAACCTGAAGGGTATCTTGTGATGCTGAAGGTGCTCGATGTTGCGCCCAATGTTCTTCCAGAGCACATAGAGCACTGTGGATGCTAAGATGTGATACTCTATGTTGAAAGGGTACAAGTAGTATATCCCTTGAGAAAATATGGAGCAGAGAGACGGAATGGTACAATTACACTGCGGAGCATGGTCATCCAACTCTACAGAAAGAGAGAATGTATGAAGGTGCATTAAGTTATAAATGCCATTTTAGAGGTGGATGCGATCAGGCTGCACAAATGCTACGCCAATGGGAACAGAAAGCTTTTGGGACCACACATGAATCCACCTTACACTGACTCAGACCATCGATCCATCCTGGTCAGTCCTATCTACTCAGGTGGGCAGCCGCTCTCCAGGGTCTCAGGCAGAGGGAGTCTTTCACATCACCTGCTACCTGGTCCTTTTAACTGGAGATGCTGGGGACTGAACCCGGGACCATCTGCATGCAAAGTAGAGTCTCTGAGCCACAACTCCTCCACACAATCAGCCTCTGTGGAGAAGCACCTGGAAATAAACGCCCCTCACAAGAAACAGATCCAGTACAACCCCCCAAATGGACTCCTCCAAACCATACTGAGGAACCTGGTCCAGTAAAGGGGCTCATGAAATTTTTTTTTCCCTGCTGATATTGGCTGACTTTAATGTTTTGTAAAACACAAAGGACATAAAGGAGAAGACAGATGTGTGGTAGGCAGTCAAAGGCCGGAGTGACAGATGAATTTCTTTTCTTTTCTTTGTGCCCCCCGAAGGGGATTTTTTATTTGCATTTTCTATAACTATATAGAAACTATAACTAAAAATTGGAAAGGGGAGGGATACTAAAACCCTAACACTCTAACTATGGGAAATGGGGAAAGGACAAACTAATACATTAAAAACTACTTGATGGGGGAAGGAAACTACTATTCTAAACTATTTCATCTATTGGATTTGGGGAGGGCGACAGACGAATTTCTTATAAGGTACTTTTTTTCTTGTTTGCTGTCAAGTCACAGGTGACTCGAGGCCTCCTCGCAGGGTTTCCAAGGCAAGGGACATCCAGAGGTGGTTTGCCCTTGCCTGACTCCGCGTAGCGACCCTGGACTCCCTTGGAGGTCTCCCATCCAAAGACTAGCCGGGGCTGACCCTGCCCAGCTTCCGAGATCTGACGAGGCCACGCTAGCCTGGGCGACCCAGGGCAGGGCCAGCTATTGACTGGCCAGATGAAAATAAAGAGTGCCGATAACAGGGGACGGTTAAGGAGGAAGAGCCCATTCGGGGAATGAAAGATATCATTATTTGGTCAAGGTTCAAAGAAAGCGAGAAAGAGAATCAAGAGAGGAAGTGAAGCGGCAATAAGAAAATGACGATGTTTGACAGTCAACAGGAGGAGTTTAAATGAGATATCAGAAGGAAAAATTGAGCCAGTGTAAATAGAGACAAGAGGACGACCACAGAGATAGCAACAAATAACACAGATTGTGCAGATTTGAGAATTCAAGAATTCAAAAGAAAGCAGATTTCAGGGATGAGACAGGACAGCCTGGCAAAAGATTATTGTGGTAGGCAACTCCCCCCCCTCTCCCTGTGTACAGAGCCTTTATAAAACAGGGAAGTCAAACGTTAAGAAACGAGCAATGCCCTTCTCTTACCTATGGAGATGTTTCCAAACCCAAGAGTAATGAGTCTCTCCTTGTGCTCATTGAGTTGATGCTTGGATTCTGCTAAGACGGCATTTGTCCACAGAAGCAAATTTGTGAACACTGAATGGATCACTCCAAACCTAGAAGACAACATACATGCATTTTGTTGACAAACGCCTCTTAAAGATGGACATGAATATTTTACTTATTGACATTTAAACTGGCGCATAAGTGACTGAGTCTCAAGCATTAAAATATCTCTCTGCCTTGTCAGAAGAAGCTAGAGATTATCATAAAAGAAGCTACCTTACTGGGGGCCTGTGGAAACAATGGCTCAGGGCTGGATAGACATTACACCTCCAGTGAAGAAACCCCTGGCTTTGGACTCAGTACCTTGAACAGGATATGAAACAGGGAGAAAACAAACAAAAAACAACCCAGGAATCTCTCCTTTCCTTATATGACACTGTGTGGGCATTCTACAGTACAGGAACTGTGATCTAGACCTATAGAATCACAGAGTTGGAAGGGGCCACGGAGGCCATCTACTCCCACCCCCTGCTCAACGCAGGATCAGCCTAGAGCATCCCTGACAAGTGTTCGTCCAGCCGCTGCTTGAAGACTGCCAGTGAGGGGGAGCTCACCACCTCCTGAGGCAGCCAGCTCTGCTGCTGAGCTACTCTTACTGTAAAATAATTTCCCCCATAGTACCTACCCAGCTGCTACCTTTCTGCTCATAATGTAAACCCATGATTGCAAGTCCTGTCCTCTGCTGCTAAGAGGAAGAGCTCCCTGTCCTCCTCTAACGGACAGCCCTTCCAATACATGTTCCCTCCTCAACTTCCTCTTCTCCAGACTGAACATTCCCAAGTCCCTCAGCCTTTTCTTGCAGGGCTTCTTGCCCTCAACCTTCTTGACCATCCACTGACTGGAAAATCCTGAGCAAACCCCAGACTGCTTTTATGTTTATAACATGTCAAAAACATGTTCACCACAAGCTGGTACCTGCCCTGCACCGAGGGAAAAAGGTGGCAAGACCCAGGGGTCATTTCCTGCAGGAGCACACAGGAGTGGAGTTCTGGTAGTAAAGAGCCCAGGGGGCAGGCACATGCAACAAGCCTCACCCCCTGCTCCCAGCAGCCCTCAGTCAGAGCAAGAAGCAGCCAGGTAAGTTGCAGAGCCCCGCCCCTGGCCCAAAGCAGTCCAGTGGCACCTTTAAGACCAAGTTTTATTCAGGTACAAGCTCTCCCTCCTCTGCCAGGGCAGATCTGCATGTCTCCCCCCCCCCAAAAATAGCTAGCAATCCAAAAGAGTCCAGTGGAGCCTGAGCGGTGGGTGTTGCCTTCTGACACGCTTCCGGTGATGTCAGGGGGTGTGGTACATGCAAATGAGTTATGCTAATAAGTTATGCTAATGAGCTTCTGCACCTCTTTTTCTACGAAATGACCCCTGGCGAGACCTGGTTCCTAAAGAGTGTCCAAGGACAGGCTGCGTGCGCCATCAGTCGGAAGCAGAGACTGCCTCCCGCCAAGTCCTCCCAACTCACAGTGAAAAGATACTAGGAAGGAGCCCAGCCCCACAATAGACACAATATGCAACAGGAAAGAAATAGAGGCTATGAGAAAATACTAGACCTTTGCCCACTGATGGCAGACACTGGCCATCAAAAACAGGGTTGCCAACCGCCAGGTGGCACCTGGAGATCTCCCACTATATGACAGTTGGTCTCCAGACAACCGAGAGCAGTTCCCCTTTAGAAAATGGCTGCTTTGGAGGGTGGGCTCTGTGGGGCTGTGCCCTCTCCTCCCCACACTGTGCCCCCTCTTGGCTCCGCCCACAATATCCCCAGGCGTTTCCCAGCCCAGAGCAGGCAGCCCTAATCAACACAAGGATTCTCCTGCTGTTTAACTGAGGTGAACAGTTCTTCGCATGAGCCTCATGTTTCCACTTCATCGGCTTTTGGGTTTGCTGTTATTTTCCAGGTTAAAAAACAACCACCAACCACCACCCAAATGTATGTTGTTATAAATGCCGGCCATTCTATTATTTTACCTCTCCAGTGTTTTGAAAGACTGAATGATGTCCTTTGCATGGCACCATAAGAAATACACCTGAAAGCAAATATGGATAAAGGTTGTTGCAGGGAAAATGTTGCCACATTAGTTATGTACGTAAACAAATGGAAATAAGCTAAACCGATGGACAAGAGATCACGAACGACCCAAATCCACTCAGCTATAAACGAGCCCTGATGTCCTGGAGGGACATTTTATCTGTACCATTGTCCAGTCTGAAAAGACAGAACTCCTGTGGCAAAGGCACGGAACTGAGCAACACGCGAAGGGCAACGGAAGATGCAGAAATTGAAACACTTCTGTTCCTTACCTACCTCAGTGGTTTCAGTGTCATCAGGAATGACAGTCCCAAATCCCCTTCCCCTTTAAAAACGCCTCGTGTGTGTCGGAGGCTGGTGGTTGCCCTGCTCTGACCCTTTATGCAGAACGCCCGTCTTGGCTGCCTTTATGATTTCCTCCTCTTTATCCTCCCACCAAGGCATACGCCAAAGGAACGGCTTGCTTTCATTTACCTGCTGTACTATATCTATATACCTGTACTATACATATATATATAATGGAAAAATAATAATTCTCAAGGAAGGCAAAACCAATTTGTCTTAATCTGCAAAGACTAACTCTTTGGTGAGGTTGTCTAGGTGATTCCCATTTTATAGACGGGGAAAGTGAGGCTGAGAAATGTTGACTTGATAAAGATCCTACAGTGACTTTGTGGCTGAAAGCAGATATCCAAATCCAGGCCAAACAGCCTATCCACGAATTACATAGGGCCCTTATGCAATGGGAGGTATACAGCAGTCTGCATTCTAGACATACAATGGCTTCTTCTTGGAAGGCTGGATTTATTGTATTATTGTTACTGCTTGCTGTCAAGTCACAGGCGACTTACGGCAACCCCTGGCGGGGGGTTTCCAAGGCAAGAGAGGTTCAGAGGTGGTTTTGCCAGGGCCTGCCTCGACGTAGCGGCCCCGGACTGCCTTGGAGGTCTCCCACCCAAAGACGAGCCAGGGCTGACCCCTGCTTAGCTTCTGAGATAGAACAAGGTTGGGCTAACCTGGGCTACCTAGGTCAGGGTGAATTTATTTTTTCACAGATATCTTTAAATGATTACATTATTACGATAAGAGGTGACTCATGACTTTCTGTGGAACGTTATTCCTTTCACTAACAAATGCACTCAGAACTTGGCCCAGCGTCACGAACATGTACACAAACACCTCACACCCACATATGTGCAATGATGCACATCTACAATACGTTCAGGAACACTCCCCTCTTCCATTGGAAGGGAAGCAGGAAGTAAGGAGGAGGTCTCCCTGCCTTGCCGCTCCAGCGTGCCCCAGGCGCCAGGCTCAGCAGCCTCCTCGTGGGCAGGCAGATGTTAATGAGGAGAAGGCTCCCCTCCTTTCTTCCAAGGACACAACAGGTCTCAAAGCAACCTGACAGTATGTACAGAATGCCAATCACAATGGGGGTTTCTGTCCGCAAGGCGGCCTCCCTACTGGCTGTGCTCGCTTGGGTGGCTTTCTGGCAGACAGATGTGCTTGCACTCTGCACTTCACAGGGGGCCGGACAACTTTCCCAACACCCAGCCTGTTCCCAGGAAAATGGATCAGGTTGCCTTGAGAGAAAAGCCAAGCTGAGCCATCTGTGCCTGGAGTGGGGACTGGCGGCGGGTGGGGGTGGGGGAGTAAGATGTCAACTCGGCTTTATTGATTATAGGCTCCTGGCACAGCATAGTCTGGGGACCATGGGGCTGCTGGGGAGAGCTTCAGGCTGTCCAGTGCACCTTCAGCCCCTTCCTTTCAACCTGAGCCGCAGACCAGATAGAAACCAGTGGCTCTCGGGGTCTGCTGGTCCCTCCTGCCTCAAGATGGGCTGGTGGCCCCCGGGGGCGGTCTGCAGAAAGCTGCTCGAGGGCTCCCTGGCAGACAGCCAATGGCCCAAAGTCCTACTTGTCCGTCGACTTCCCCAACCTTGCTCCAGAGCAGTGTTCCCTCTAAGCTGAGTGAGTGTGAGCTAGCTCACAGTTTTTCAGCCTCCAGCTCACACATTTTAGTCTCAGCTCAGGGAGGAGGGCTCCAGAACAAACTAATTTATGCGGTAGCCAAATCGCTTGCTCACAGCTTTAATGCCAGTAGCGCACAGAGTAGAATTTTTGCTCACGAGACTCCACAGGTTAGAGGGAACATTGCTCCTGAGTAAGGTGGAGAGCTGGGCTTCCACACAAACGGATCTGCTTCTGGAAGAGCCGTTGCCCGGCTTCTCTGAGCGGGGCCGCAGGGCCTCCCACTTCCTAGCTGACCCTTGAAACCCCCCTATACTGCATAGCAAGGGGAAAGACTCCTGGCGGGCTGAGCTGAACCAGCTTTTGCTCCGTGGAAGGCACCGAGTAGGAGAAAGTATCCCCTAATCCTACCCACTGATGCTCCGGCTTATACTACCAGACTCCAGCGTTGTGAAGACAACCTACTGAAATCATCACATCTAGTCCCTGCAGGTAGAGGGTCACCAAACTGCATGGTCACACTGGGCAGAAGGATTGTGTGCCTGGTGGATGCCTTCTCCTGTGAGTGCTTCAGTTATGTGTTCAATGCAGGTTCAAATGTGCTCATGCATACCTGCAGTATATTTTCTTTGATCTCAGGAAAAGGAACAACAAAAGGTTGGGATTAGAGGGGCATGGGAAGCAAGAGAGTTACAGGAGAAGTTTGAGCAGAGACTGAAAAGCCTTTTGTCTAGAGCCCAGTTTTTGCTATTTCAGACCTGGGCCAATAATGGGAGTGTTATTCTCTTTGCTCTGGGTTCTTAGATCATGCCCTTCACTGTAGTGTTGGAGTATTTACAAGAGGCGTATTATGCAGTAGTTGTGTATGGTTGTGTGTCTCTCTCTCCCCTCCTCTGTACAGGTATACAGTACATATGGAGGGGCTAAGGTTACCTTTCCTCTTCAAGGTTGACTGCATAGGGAAGGAAAGGGGGCTTGTGTTGTTCTCCCCATCCTCGGCATTGGCAGAAGGGCCAGGAACAAGCTGACTCTCTGTTTGAAGTCCGAGGCTATTATTTCCATTAGCGCTGGAAAATCTATCCCGTTGCTGCTTTCTGCTTCACTGCTAAAGATTTGGTAGTCATATTCAAGGATGCTGCTAGCAGGCAGTGTGGAATGCAGACGTAGATGTCAAACCGACATATTTTTGGATCTGGAGAAATGACTCCATATTCTTGCCGCACTCTCTCTGGGCACGAGTCCACAGGGCGGATGGGAACTTCTCCTGCACCAGCCTCGGTCGGAAGGCCCCGGAGACTTCGTGCCCTCCCAACGGCCTCGCGCTTCTTTCTTTGTCTTCCCTCTGCTGATGGTATTTTTTTTAGGGTTATAACTTAGTCTGCATCATAGATGTTAGAAAAGTCTTCTTCAGTGGACCCAAACTTGATGATTCTCATGGTGATGTTCTGGAAGGGGACCTGGTGTTACTTGAAACCCAGCACGGCCAGAGGAGGTGAAACATAACTCAGTTGCTTGCCCATTTGGAAAGAAGGTTAAGGCAGTTTAAGCCACATCTTTTCCTGGCAAAGGGACAGTTTTCATTTAGCCACAGGGTGAATACTCCCAAATCTGTGACGGTATCATCTGTAGACCATCCTTTGAGCTGCAAATGGGGGATCTTCATGTCTAATGGACCAGTTCATGCAAGGAGAGTGTGGGCATTGCAAGAAGCACCCCTATGGGGTGTAAAACTCAGTGCCTGGATGCAGGCAGAGAAGGCTGGGGGGTGGGAGAGGGTACACAGCCCGCTTTCACCCCCATCTTACCTTACCTCTCCTTTAGTGGAGAAGGAGCAGGTACAATTAGGTGCTAAAGCAGAGATAAGCCAAGTACCAGTTTGCCTAGAATCCCCTCCAGCTTTCGCTGCCTGTTCCTGGGGCAGATTCAGAATTCTCAACAGAAAACCCGGCTTACACTCCGGTACTTTAGGTGTGATAAATGTAATGTATAGCCAGACACAGCATATGTGAGAATTGGGGACATATAGAAATAATGCAAAACCAAAGACGTTTACCTGCACAAGCGTGTGCACTGCATGCGTCACTGGGAAAATGCCTTCTGCAATCGATAAGCAATCTGAATATCCCACGAAGTATCCAATTTTGAAAGCGTCCATAATTAAAGTAATCATCGCAAACAGAGTAATCCCACCTAAGAAAAGCATTTAAAAGGAAAAAATTGTTATTATGAAGGTGATAACTTTAGAGGCTGATTAAAGCAATTTTTTTAAAAAGGCTAAGCCAAAAAATTAAGCTTGCAGACCCTGAAGCTGGAAACTGGCAATGCTACTTTACACCTATGCAACATACTTCCTCTTCCTTGTAACCCCCCAGAATACAAGCTTGGACAGTTGCTGGAAACGCTGCACGGCTTTTCTGTTTCAGCTGGGTTCTAGTGGAGGGAGGGAGACACTTTTAATTCTGCCCTTGTGCTTTAAAAGATATTAATTTCACAGATGGATTTCAACTAAATTTTGAATTCATTACCTGATCCAAACCGATACACAGGACCCTGGGGGATCAACTTCTTGCTGAAGGAGTCCACCCCCTTTAATCAACAGCCTTGCCAGTCCTTTATGGTTCTCGTGCCCCACAGAAGCCCAAATCCCACCAGAGTTCCAGAGCTGGATCCAAAGTAAATGAGCCATTTCCACTGATCCACCCACCCCTTCCTGCTGCAGAGCCCTCCTTGCATTCCTCAAGGTCTCATGTCCCCAAAAGGGAGCAGCTCATGGAGATCAGTGGGGTGCCGTGGGGAGGGGGAGGCAGGAGAGTTCCCTTCCACAGATGGAAAACTTGGTCTCGATCAATCCCAGGGCCTACCAAGAGCTCTAGTGAAGACAGGGGAACCTGAGGGCGGCCTGCAACAATGGAATGTCTCGGGTTATGAGATATGGGCCTGTCCCTTTAAAATCTCCTGAGCTTTCAGCAGACACGGGCGGGCGAGCCTGGGCACCCAATGGGTCTGCTCTGATCTCTTTAAGTGCTCTGTTGAGCTCAGACCACCCATGGAGCCACTGAGTGTTGTAAGAAGCTCTCCGTGGGAGCTCTCCCAGGTCCTGCAGAAGAATTCCACACACACGTCCCAACACTCCTCAGGATTTCTTAGCTGCCACCTGCTGACCTGTGCCAGCTGCCTCCTGCTTCGTCCATGCCACCTTCGAGCCTGGCACAGTGCCACCTGGCTTCCCAACCCCGCCTTCCCACTACCTCCAAAAACAGGCGACCTATTTATACCCTGCTTTTCTCCTCAATGTGGACCCCAAATGGCTGACCGGATCCTTCTCCCCTCCTGTTTTGTTCTCACAACTCCCCAGTGGGGAAGGCTGGACTGAGAGAAAGTGACCGGCCCGGTGAGCTTGCAGGGGCCAGGAGGTGAAAGCGCCCCACCTACCCACCCGCTTGCGGGGGGCCCGTTCAGCACAGCCGGGGCCTTCCACACCTTCCCCTGCTCTGCATCCTACTGAGTCCCCAAAACACAACTTCTGCAGGCAGATTCAGTGGAAGTCAGCAAGTCCATGTCAACAATTCACCTACACATTTACACGGTCTATTATCAGCACAGTATTTCATGGATTACACATTTTGCCAGCATTGTCTTAGGATACTGTGGCTGTATTCCAGATGTGCTTAAATCCCACAGAACTCAATGGGACTTACTCCCAAGTTGTTGTTCTTGTTCAATCGCACAGTTGAGTCCGACTCTTCGCCACCCCATGGACCAGATCACGCCAGGCCTTCCTGTCTTCCGCTGTCCTCTGAAGTTGGCTCAATTACATGTTCGTTGCATCTATGACACTGTCTAACCATCTCATCCTTTGCCATCCCCGTCTTCTTTGACCTTCAATCTTTCCCAGCATCAGGGTCTTCTCCAGTGAGTGCTCCCTTCTCCTTTGGTGGCCAAAGTATTTGAGCTTCAGTTTCATTATCTGGCCTTCCAGGGAACAGTCAGGGTTGATTTCTTTTAGGACTGACTGATTTGATCTCCTTGCAGGCCAAGGGACTCTCAAGAGTCTTCTCTAGCACCATAGTTCAAAAGAATCTATTCTTCGGCGCTCGGCCTTCCTTATAGTCCAACTCTCGCAGCCATACATGACTACTGGGAATACCATGGCTTTGACCATGCGGACTTATGTTGGCAGGGTGATGTCTCTGCTTTTTATCATGCTGTTTAGGTTCGCCATCGCTCTCCTCCCAAGGAGCAGGCGTCTTTTAATTTCATGGCTGCAGTCCCAAGTAGGCCCACACAAATCTGGACTTCACATGCGACTACAGTTAAGCTCTAGTGCACTTTCAAACACCCCCCACCTATATTTTATTTTGCTGAACACAAATCCTATGGAATGAATGGAACAGTGAGACCAAACTCTTATGCACATTTACTCCAGAGAAAGCTCAGCTGAAGTCATTAGGACTGACTGGGTCACAAAAAGCCTGTAGCTTTGACTGGACCCTGCATCTCGTGTAAGCCAGGATGTCAGCCATTACATCAGCATGATTTTGCGACACTGCTAACCCACATTCTTGTCATTCTTTGGGGTCAGGAAGCCATTTCTCTCCAGGCCAGTTTGGCTAGGCGTCTTGGAGGTTTTTTGCCACCTTCTGGGCCCGGAGCAGGGGTCACTGGGGGTGGGTGGGGTCTTTGTGAATTTCCTGCATTGTGCAGGGGGTTGGACTAGATGGCCCTGGAGGTCCCTTCCAACTCTATTATTACATCCTACGAAAATGTGGAGCCCTATAAGGAAAGTTACAGCGCAAGCCTGGACAGAGTTACCCCATGCTACACACATTGGCTTCAATGGACTTGGAAAGGGGTGACTTTGTATAGGATTGCTTGTCTTGGGCCTGACTTCTTTCTGCGTGAAGATGGAAGGAGCCACGGCCTGGAGATCACAGGCAGGGCGATCCCCTGCAGGGCTGCTTAGACGTGAAGGTTCTGGGGAGAAGACCTTGCAGAACGCCATGAGGGATTAACTACACAGGGCACTCCTCTTCCCCCCCCCCCACACACACACAGACAAGGGCCATCCTGGTGGGTCAGGCACTCCTGGGACTATGGCAGTCCCCCTTCCCCTCATGGCCTGGGGCTTGCCAACCGCCAGAATCAGCCCTTTCCTCGGATACCCCCCCCCACCAGGATCAGCCCCGGAGCCAGACAGCTGGGGAGCAGCAGTGTGGCATCGGTGCTCTGCTCCCACGCTTGGGATGCCAGCCTCCAGGTGGGGCCTGGGGACACTCTGCCGCCCCCCCCCCCGAATTGCCGCTCCTCTCCAGACTACAGTGGCCAGCTCCCCTGGGCATCGTGCCCCACTGTGGGGCATGCTCTGCAGGGTCCGCTCCCAAACCTCCAGGACTTTCCCGACCTGGATCTGGCAACCCTACCCCCTCCACACACACCCCCCCCATCAGGTCCAGGTATGGCTCTGAGTTGGCTCGGCTGAGGGGGGGGGAGTCGGATGCAAATCCTGCCCCTGCCCTCAAGCTCCACAGCGGCGGCGGTCTGTCTTCCTCCCTCCCTCCCTCCCTCCCTCCCTGCGCCTGGCCCACCCTGCGGGGCTGTCGCGAAGCCCCCCCCCCCCCCCGGGGGGGGGGGCGCCCCCCCCCCCCCCCCCCCCCCCCCCCTCTCCCCCCCCTCCCAGTCACGGGGCAGGAGGGATCCCTGAGAGCTGCCCAGACCTGCCCCAGCCTGTGAGCCCGGCGGCAA